TGAGTTTTAGAATTCAATATGAGTTGATATAGTTGTTCAATCTACGGAGTTGAGAAACGGATGGTAAATTATCTGAAATATAAAGAAAGAAGTTTCGGATTGTAGCAGTGACCTGTAGAAAAGCGTGAAGTACTACAGGAGGTTGTACGAGCGAACTAGCTGTAAAAAAGAACTTGTAAGTGTACTTATCGTTGATCTAGTAAAAACGTTTTGGAGAAAAGAACCCCTTGTGTATTGTGTTCGTTTCCTGTACTAGTACCTGTAGTACTCTCTGTTACAGCAACTCTTGCACTTTCACGCATCATGAAGGTAGTAGCTAGTCTGCAATCATATTTTAAGGTTGGTGACACAACCCTATAAATCAGCTCAATGACCTCTTTGACGATCAATGCGATCAAATTCACAGAAATCACTGTTTTTAATCTAATTTTCATTATGGTAGGTCATTTGAATTATGTAAGATATATCGCTTTAATTAAAAGAGATTCGCCAGAATGATGATTTTTTAGAGAGGAGCATGCTTCCAAGGATGTTTTAAACACATTATGTACGGTAAGATAAATGGATATAGAAGAGGTTTCGTTAAAAAAAAAAAGGATATAGAAAAGATAAATCCAGAGAGTGAAGAAGAAAATTTCTTGAGATATATTTTCATTCTTAATTTATGTTCTCTTTGTTGTTGTGTTAAACATGATGTTTAATTTTTTTTTCTATTGGTTAGAATAAATAAAATGATTGTTTTTTTCTATGATTTCAGTTTATGCATATGTATATGTTATTGGATTTTATAATTTTACCGTTCTTTATGCTTTAATTAGTAAGAGCTTGCTACGATCTTATCTAGGATTATCTATAGTCTGAAATTTATCTTCTTGAACTATGATGTTTGAGCAAATGTTTTATCTTGAGTTGCTTTGATTATGACTTAGATAGGGTAAACATATACTACTTCATGTGTTTCAGTTACTGGCTAATGCAATTCTTCTGATTCTAATAAATGTTTAGTTATGTCCATCCGCCCCTGAATTCTCTATGCACATAAATAATCGAATCATTAGCAAATTGATTCCATAGGATAATCAAACATATACAGTGATCCTGAAACATGTAAAAAAAAACGTGTGTTGCGTTTCACGTTTTAAATCAAGTGTTTTGCCTCTGTCAAAAAAAAAAAACATCAATAGTTTTGCCTAGTTGAATCTAACACCACCAACATTTATTTCTATACATTCTCCGGAGTTTGATCCACGTTATTCTCTTTCTTGTGAGTTTGATCCTCAAATATTACCATTATCACATTTGTACTTGCTGTATGATATATTTGGAAAACATAAACTTTTCATTTAGAGAAAAATAAAATTACATTCAGTCCCTATCACTCACTGTGTATAATTAGGGTTTGGGTTCACCAATATATGATTAGGTTTAACGTTCCCTCAGTTCCACTATTTTTTTTATCTCGTTAGTTAGTTATTGCATTGTGTTTGGGCTCTTTCATACTAATTTAGACTTTAGATTTCATTGTTATGTATATATGATTATGGTGTATTAATGTAGAATAATTAGTTTTGGTTCACCAGTGGCTAGGAGTTTAACCTTCCCTTGGTTGCACTCTTGTCATCTCGTTAGTTAGTTAATGCATTATGTTAGGATTTTCCCATACCAATTTAAGGTTTATATCTTATACGTTATGTCTATTATATGATATATTCGTACAATAATTAGTTTGGGTTAACTAACACATGAGGTTTAGCGTTTTCTTGTTTACACTATTATCCATTATTGTACATTAGTGGTTACATAAATTGTGATGTATTTGGATCCCTTATTACAATTCATGGCTTAAATTTCTCTATTAGGTGTATTTTATGGATGAATCATTGTGCATCATGTAAGATAATCCAAAAAAGGATT